TTTGATTATCCTGACTTCCCTTTTCTGAACCTTTTATTATCCCAGGGAGTCTGAAGACAAACACTAACTTCACACAACAGAGAGGCACTGTGCTTCATTCTCCACCCTCTGCCCTCCCAAATAGTAACTGACATTGTTTATACTTTTGATAGACAATCAACATTGAAATGACATTTTTGTCAAACCATCCAAAATAATCATAAGCTCTTTCATTTCACTGTAATGTTGTTCTTACAAAGCTTTGTCTAGCTTGCTTACCTGCTATCAAAAATGCATTCCTCTACTGCTATTTCTGTTATACTTCTGATACACGTTACCAATTTTTTGGTTTTATTCCCAGAAGCAGCTTAGCTTAGACTACCAATGATGGCATCTGGCATCCACTAATGTTGCAAACCCTATGCAAACACCTTTGAATTATAAGGGATCAGTCTGACAACCTTTTGTTAACACAGGAAAACTCTTTTGACCATTTTTTAATCCAATTCCACCCCCCAAGAACAAAACACAAAACAACAAACAAAAAAACAAAACAAACAGCAAACAAAACAAAAGCCTTTGATTATATTTTCAAATATTTCTTCCACACTTTTTCACTTTCTCAAAACACTCTCATCTGCACCTTGTGATTCAAAACAAGGTACAATCAATAATCGCAGGGGGTTGCTCATTTTTATTTCATTAACTACTATATTGTACATTTGTGCATTAAGCTTTCCCAGCTGTTTCACTTTTTAGGACCACTGGTGTCTGAAGCAGTGAAGGTTAGTTGCGCATCAACTACACATATTTGCCTTTTTACCTAATTAGAGTCAGTGTTACTTTAATCATATCTTCTATGTCCCCTCATTCATAATCTTTTGGTCTCTGCCTTAGTATTATTAACTCCATGTGTTCAAACCTCGTGTGTCAGATCATACAAAGATTAAGACTTTTAAGGGAAAATCCTCAAATACTTAAAAATAGATTGGGATTTTTTACTTTCCTTCTCCTGCTAAACCTTTTGGAATTACACATTTAAAGCTTTGATATGTTTTTCTCTGTAGCCATGAGCCTTGCAGTCTTACTTATATTTTTTAATGAACTCCAGGGTTCATATATAATTATATAAAACTAGGAGCCATCAAGGAAAAAAAAAAAAGGAAAAAAATTAGGGTTTTTTACAATACAATTTTAATGGGTTTTAAATTGTATTTGCAGTATTTTTAGACTTCGAAAAGAACACATAAAAATCAGTATGCTCCAGGGAATGTGGTCATCTGATACAGTTTTATTCACAGTTCCAGTAACTACTCACTTTTCATTGGAAAAGATTCCAAGGAAGAGACTCAAGGAAGGACAGTTTTGAACTCCATGAAGCTGCATCTACAGTATACTACAGCAAAGTATAAAAGGCTGCCAGTCTACATCCCTATTTAAGTATTTGAGAGTACATAGAGAAAAGTATAGATTATTCCTAGAGGTCTTCCAAAAGTAAGCAGTCCTTTCTTATTTATAAAGTAACTACTTTATAACTTTTATTTTTAGAAGGCCTGAAATAATCTCGCTCTTCCAGTCACTGATGCTGCCTCCCAGGTACAAAGTCTTCCTGCACCAATGTGGAACAAAAGTCTAATGGACTTTAGTCACATTAGGAGACTTCTCTAGAACTATGACTAAGGTGTTTACATGGGGTTTTGAGGGGGAACTGTTGGCCAGTAAAATAGGAAAGAGACTATCTGAACACTAATTTTGCAGTCAGTCCTACCACTTGCTCTTTAAAGACATAGTGTCTAACCAGTGTGACACATCTGGTCTTGCTGAAGTCCTTACCCCTTTTTTTTCATCTGTGATAGGCAGTCCCTGTTGGTTGGGGTATCCTCCTTCCCCTGCTCTGGATGAGCAGGTAAGCCTGTAGAGGGAATCCCACAGAAAGCTTTCTTGTGCTACCAACAGGCAGGCCTTGCTTGACAATATAATTTCATATCAGCTAGATAATCATACAGAAATGATTTTTTTAACATCATCTTCATCCAGACTTGCCATTGTCAATCTTCATGCACATAGGCTAAATGATTTTTGAGAGCATTCTAGCCCAAAATAAGATCAAGCTTGCAACTGAGAAAATTACAGGATGGAAAAAAGGCCATTCAAAATTATACTTAATAATGACACACTGCAGTTTGAGAAACTCAGTAATACAAATTAATACTAAGATTCAGAGCAAATATGCACCTCAACAAGAGCAGCCATCTTATAATTACAGAATCAAATGAGTTATATGCTCATATATTAAAATATTTGTATGCAAGTTGATATCAGTTGCACTTTAGAAACAAATAATTCATTTACAAGCTAATTTGAGCAATACAGACTGCCAAACTGAGTCTGAAGCTTGAAAAATCAAAGTTCTGCAGGATGAAGCTAGTCCTCTAATTTCCTGCATGACTGGAGACACAAAATTAAGACAAAGTGTCATTTTATTAATTCTCAGAAAACATGCTTTTAAAACTAAGGTGGCTTTTAATTCCTTAGCTTCTCCAACTTTTAGAAACAAATACTTGTTTAAAACATCTCAGTGATGAGGTTTTCTGGGGTGAAGGCAATCTGTGTTCATAGTGCCTACTGTGGAATGGAACGGATTTTTTTCTCTCACTGCCCTTAGCTTCAAAATAGATACTCTTTTTAAAACTTGCTATTAGTAACAACAAGGACAAGAAATTATCAGTCCATCTTAGACGTCATCTTACTTAAATTTAAGACTATTTCTGTGATCTAAGAACTTTTACCATTGTTCTCAATGAAACAACTGTTAGAAACTTAAAGGTACGAAACCATTTCTCCCCTAATTACACGCATTGCTAAACTTCTTAACAAAATGGAGTCAGAATTTTGTGGCTGACACTATAATTTGAGTGGAAAAATCATATTATAGTGACTAAAATGAGAAATTACCAGGCTGAAAACTCTTGATTTAAATAGGCAGCGTTGTAACAATAATATCACCAGATACTGTACAACAGAAGGTACCAAAAAAGGCTTCCTAAGGTTTCTGAAAAACTGGTCAAGAAAACGGCCATTATGTTCTATGTTTCCTCAATATAACGCATTCCAATAAATATGTCTCTTAGAAGAACTAATTATCTTACACAGATATTTAAAACTATTTAAAGAAAACCTCTCTAGCTTCATGACCTATGCAGGCAGGTAAAAAAATAATATTTCTCTATGTAAAATCAGCATATCTATATGGCAACAGGTCTAAAGAATGGTCTTGACATTTGACATAACAGAAACATTTTGTAAGAATTATTGTCTTTACTCACTGTGGGTAAAAATATTAACAAATTTAGAATACTGTCTCACATTTCAGTGCTACATCCATATAGACTGTTTTCACCTGTTTATTTCTTACAGAAAAAAAAAACCACACCACTCAATTCAGGCCTGTATCTGACTGACAACAGTAAATCTGACCTCTACCTCTGTTACTTTCTTTTCCTTTCTCTGTGGTTCTGTTAACATTACTTGACCATTATAATATTCTTTTTATTATACCGCCTGTCTGTACCAAAGGTTCAGTTCTATCAAATTCAAAAGCCAGCTGAAAGCATCAACATAGACATATACAGGTTGATGCAATTCTTCATTCCACATGGTTATACTCTGTAACAGAAATGGCTACTCTGTTGGAATTTCCATGCTGCATTTTATTGTAAGGGGAAAACTAAGTATCAAATAATTATTTTTTTTTTTTACTTACTTTTCTGATTACTATCTTCCTGAATATAACAAATAAGAACACAAGACCATAGTTTTGTTCATTATTTCCAAATGTCTTTCCTGGGCAGCAACGCAACATAAAAATATTTTACCATCACACTCCTAGCATCTTAATTTTGTGCTTGCTTGACTGTATATGAATCTTTTCTGTGCTTCTCCTTAGACTTCTGTTATCTTTAGATACAGCCATTAGCATACAACTACCTCATTTGTGTCTTGTCTCTAGTAACAACATACTGCCTAAGTAAAAGCTCATATGCTGGCCAGCTGGACAAGGACCTGCATTGACACAATGGTTGCCTTTGTTTCAATGTATTTTACAATTACATCAATTGTTGAACATTTTTTACATTCATTTTTAAGTTCAATGTCCATCAGTTACAACAGTGCTTCATCTGCCCTCCCCCTCCTATACATTTAGGACATTGTTTATCACACTTTTAGCAATTGCTTTTAACAGCTCTTACTCCTTTCTTTTCTTTCCTTCTCAATATGGTATACTAGTTCACAACAGGCTGTGTTTACATTGTTAGTGCCCATATTTAAAAAGAAATGTAAGCTCATACTTTTACGTTCATATTTGTGGCAACAGCATATCAGTGCTTGATTTGCCGTCTGCCCTGAGTACCTCTTTTACCATCGTTTCTCCAATTTATAGTCATTACAGAACACCTGTTGAATCTGTTACCCAAATTATTCTTTGTCCATGTGGCACCCCCAAATACGTGAAACTACTACTTGTGCAATCAAAGCCTAAGTCTTGTTTGAGAAACACCACCTAAAGAAGATTGATTTTAACTTGGAAATGTCAAACTTCTGCCTATAATGCTCAACTGCATTTTTCTGAAAGCAAAGTTCAGAAAGAGCCATAGACCTGACAGATCTCTAACATATCATGATATATGTGACAGGTCTACACCTCAGTGCCAGAAATGTCCTCCAACAGAATGAGGCAATCAATAAATCTATCCCAGATCATAGAATTATTTTTTGTACATACATAAGAGAAGACACAGCACGTTTTCTGTATCCCTGGAGAATCCTATTTTAATAAAGTATCACACTAACTTTCTTCAATATTATACAATGCCAGTTACAAAATTTAAACTTTATCTGTTTGATACTTCTCTCTCTAAGCTCCTAACATTCATTTTTGTGTTATTAAGCTACTGGAGGAAAAAAAAAAAAAGACGGGATTTAAAACACACTTTTTTGCTAAAAGAACAAATTCTTCTTACTTTTTTTTCTGGTCCCTCTGTCAGCTAGAAGAATGACAGCTGTTCCAAATGAATCTGTTGAATTATGTCCCCATCATCCTAGAAGACATTGTTATTGATTAATACTGCATCAAAAATTTACCTTGAGTGCACAGTGTGAATACATTTAATTTTCTTTTTTTGAAAATCTCCAGATTGGAGATAAATTACATCAAGTTTGGAAAAGTTAATTTGACATTCATAAATCAAAGCTTTCTAGAGAAATAATTGGTTTGATTTACAACTAATGTCTTTGAACGCATTCTACAACCTACATTTCAAGTAACAGCCTTGACTTTACCAAGAGAGAATATTCTCCAAAATACGTATTTTCTGAAGTCATTTGACCATAACAGTAACAATACAAGCACAGCAATAGCAGCTCAAAAGCAGTGATTTAGAACACACTTTTCTTTCTTTTTTTTTTTTCATGGTACCATGAGTACATTTAACATTTTTAGTAAGTAGGGTCAATAAAGTAAAAACAGCTGTGTGAATAGATTGATAGTTACTTGTGCTTATGTATGATTTAAAAAATACATCCATACATCACTGTCATAATTCTATTTCTTCCATTATTTTATACATCCTAAGCACATAAACAATATTTAATGTTAGAGTAACCAAGAGAGTTTGAATTAAGCAAAGCACACGCTCACAGAACAAGCAGATATGTGATTAAAAGTCATAAAATTCTGAAACTGGGAACTTAATGATATGAGGATTTCCACGGCTAAAGAACTTTTTATTTATTCACACACAACCACAATCATTTAGCTTTTCTTAAACTGCAGTTTCAGTGTAAAAACAGCAGTATGACAGTGTAGGAAGATTATGGCACTCTAATACTCTCAACTCTTAAAATACAATGGCTGCATTTATAAAGAGGCTGAGTAGCACCTGTGTAAGAAACAAGAAGCAGGGTTTGTTTTGCTTTTGAATAAACATTAAATGAACAAGTATATAAACAAGACATGTAAGTCAGAGACACACCTGCAACATACCAAAAGTGTTATCATAAACTTACATTCCTTAGGCTCCTATATTTAATTTGATATTACATTCTTTGAGGGTGTTTCTTCATCAACAGTCAAGGGTTAAACAGGTGCAGTGCAAATGGGACATTCAACCAAATTTGCATCTTTATCATCCCAAGCTTCATATCACATACCATGTTCCTAGTTACTCCTTTGCACTCATACACACTTAATGTTACAAAGGCTCACTTGGGTCCTTGGGCAGCTGAAATGCCTGCTCCAGCAGCTCATCACACACCAACTCCCTCCTGCCTTAGTCTCAAAGGTCCTTAATCTCCCTTTTGAAAGAGGCAGACCAAACCTTCTCCAGACAGCCCCTTTCTCCCCAAACCCCAGCATGCTCATATACACCATTTCTTCCACCTTCAGGCATTGCCCAAACCTGCTGCCCCTCAGGGTTGGGGCTGCCTTCAGAGCCCTCACACAGGCAGCATGTACCAACTGGCCATCTCGCCAAGATGCCCCCCTGACAGGATACTGGGAAGGACCTCAAGCAAATCCCGCCCCAAGCCATTCCAGATTGTTCTGGAATCTTCTGGATCACTCCTCCACCCTCAGTCAACTCCCTCTTCCTGCAGAAACTAACCCCCCAAGCATGCCACAAAGATGGCTCACCACACCTTTTAAAAGGCAAAAGTATTAGTGGGCTGATCAGCCTGATGGAAGAGTAACTTGAATTTTGGCTGGAAAAGGTTTGGACTGCAGATTAATTAGCAATTGCCCGACACAACTGCCTTTCCTTTAGCTTTCTGAAATCTGCCCAATCACCTGAAAAAACAAGCAGAAAAGTCATCTGCTTTAATGAACAGCCAACTAACAGAGAAGCACACCTCCACCTAACAGGGAAGTGAAGAATCTATTAGCACAATGTTCACAACCTCACAGGTAGTGCCCATTTAAAAGTGGTAGTGACATACTGCAAATCCCAACAAGCTCATCAAGCAGCTGCTCTTCCTCCTCTGACTTTGCCTCAGTGAGGAATCAGGTACATGCAGCAAGATAGGCAATATATATTAGCTCCTGACGCTGTTTTGTTCTGCCACTTTGATAAAAGGGTCAGCTTGCTGCTCCGGAGTAGTCTAAAATAAGCAAAGGAGAATATGAAATAATATAAAATATAACCCCCATTTAATATAACCCTCATTTTCAAGAAGGGGGAAATGGATGACCCAGGGAGCTACAGACCAGTCAGTCTCACCTCTGTGCCTGGCAAAATCTTGGAGCAGATTCTCCTGGAAGGCATGCTGAGGCACATGAAAATCAACAAGGTGCCTGGTGACAGCCAGCATGGCTTCACTAAGGGGAAATCCTGCCTGACCAATTTGGTGGCTTTCTATGATGGGGCTATGGAACTGATGGACAGGGGTAGAGCTGTTGATGTCATCTACCTGGACTTGTGTAAAGCGTTCGACACTGTCCCACACGACATCCTTGTCTCTAAATTGGAGGGACATCAATTTGATGGGTGGATAAAGAACTGGCTGGATGGCCGCACGCAAAGAGTTGTGGTCAATGGCTCACTGTCCAGCTGGAGACCAGTAACGAGTGGTGTCCCTCAGGGATCGGTGTTGGGATTGATCTTGCTCAACATCTTTCTCGCTGACATGGACAGTGGGATTGAGCACGCCCTCAGCAAGTTTGCCGATGACACCAAGCTGTGTGGTTCGGTTGATACCCTGGAGGGAAGGAATGCCATCCAGAGGGACATTGACACACTTGTGAGGTGGGCTGATGCCAACCTCATGAGGTTTAACCATGACAAGTGCAAGGTCCTACACCTGGGTCAGAACAATCCCAGGCACAGCTACAGATTGGGCAGAGAAGAGATTCAGAGCAGCCCTGCAGAGAAGGACTTGGGGGTGTTGGTTGATGAGAAGATGAACATGAGCCGGCTTCAGTGTGTGCTCGCAGCCCAGAAAGCCAACCGTATCCTGGGCTGCATCAAAAGGAGCGTGACCAGCAGGTCAAGGGAGGTGATCCTGCCCCTCTACTCTGCTCTTGCGAGACCTCACCTGGAGTATTGTGTGCAGTTCTGGTGTTCTCAACATAAAAAGGACATGGAACTGTTGGAACAAGTCCAGAGGAGGGCCACGAGGATGATCAGGGGACTGGAGCCCCTCCCATATGAAGACAGGCTGAGGAAGTTGGGGCTGTTCAGCCTGGAGTAGAGAAGGCTGTGTGGAGACCTCATAGCAGCCTTCCAGTATCTGAAGGGGACCTATACAGATGATGGGGATGGACTCTTCATTAGGGACTGTAGTGACAGGACAAGCGGTAATAGGTTAAAACTTAAGGGAAGTTTAGATTGGATATAAGGAAGAAGTTCTTTACTGTAAGGGTGGTGAAGCACTGGAATAGGCTGCCGAGGGAGGTTGTGAATGCTCCATCCTTGGCGGTGTTCAAGACCAGATTGGACGAAGCCTTGAGTGAGATGGTTTAGTGTGAGGTGGCCCTGCCTATGGCAGGGGGTTTGGAACTAGATGATCTTAAGGTCCTTTCCAACCCTAACTATTCTCTGATTCTATGAAATGCTGAATGCAGAAAAGAAGAACAAAACCCAAATCTCATAATTATGTGTGCATGAATGCAGAAGAGTCTCACAAAAAAAGTTATCTTAGTTTTGTATGTGGCTTCTTTACCCCTGACACCTTCTGGGTAGACATGGTTTCATTCTCAAGGCTCCTGTGAAGTACAGGAATCTAACTTTTTCTTAGTCCACGTGTGAAAACTGAACTACAGCAAGATGATGATACACTTTCAAAGAATAATAAAATGTTCTTATGACAATCAGTCTAATCTGTGCATCCCATACCTATTTCTAGAAAGCGCTGCTTTTTTTCTTTTTCCAATTGAAAACAATGGTACAGTAGCTGAGGAAAATAAAATTAGTAGGAGCTGTGCATCACTGCTTTGTAATAGTTTCTAACACTTTGAAAAAGAATTTCATACTAAGAAGTACAGGAGGATGAGACAGAGTAATGAGAACTCTGGTATTTCTCTTGAACCTTGGTAATATTTTTTGTACAGTATTTTCCCTGGAATCTGCCAAATGCTCTGAAAATGCCTATTTGCATACATAACATTTAATTTCAATAACCTTAAAAAAATTTAAGATTTAGGCTTTTTTCTAGGAGCTAAAATAACATTAGGAATTTACTTTAATTTTTAACCATAGTAAAATATTTTTCATTATTATAATGAAGTTGCTTATTATGCCTGAAGCTAGTTTTTAATTTTTCCTAACCAACAGACCAGTTCACCTAATGATCTCTAATTTTAATGTCAACATACTAATTTTCAGTAAAAGCATAAGTTTTAAACAAATATTAAGTAGATAGCAAGTCTAGAATTGGTACAATTTTTGCAGCATCGTGCCATTTTTTCCTTATTTTGCCATCAATAATAGTGGTATAACTATGCTTTCCAAACTTTACACTAAGAGATGCTCATCTCTATTAGTAAAACGATGGTACTGCTTCTTTCATGTAAAAAAAATAAAATATATATGTATAAAAATGGTTAAATCAAATATTAATGATTGAAGTCAGTTGAACCTTAATTAGTTTCATCTTGGATTTCTTATTATTATTTGTCTTGCAATCAAAACCAACAATGAATCATATCCCAATGGCAGAAATAAGAGTTGTATATCCATTGTACCCCAATGGTAGTGAATTATTCTACTGGGTGGCACAGTTTAGTGGGAGGTGTACCTGCCCATGGCAGGGGGTTGGAAATAGATGATCTTAAGGTCCTTTCCAACCATAACTATTCTATGATTCAGCCTTAAGAGAATAAATATTTGAAAGCACAAGCTTTGACTGTTTGTTTTACAGAAGTTTTTAGCATAATGCTGGTTTTGCACGTTTTCCTCATATTGCTGTAACTCCGAATTGCTACCTTTGTGTCTTCAAAACTGCTGTATTTATTTACATTTAAAAAAGAATATGGGTTTTCCATATCTTGTATCATCTCTAATCACACTGCACACTGGCGTGGGAGGGAGGGTGGGAATTCATCAAC